CATTTCTGGCATTTTATTATTATTGTTATTATTACTATTATTATTATTATTATTATTATTATTATATAAATTAAACTAAAAACTAAACTATGTAAATGAATTTGAGTTAATCAGATAATAATATGCTATGATCACTAGACACATGTCATCATTTTACTTGCGTGAAAGAGCTTTCTTAAAAGTTTGTTTATCTATTGAGCTCTTGTACTTCATTGGGTAATCAATTCCAGGCAACAGCTCCTTGATAAGAAAAGTAGCGTTTCATAAAATTTGTGTTACGCAAAGAAGGTTGAAAGTCAAAATTGCTGCCTCTAAGATTGCAGCTATGAACTTTGTGAAAATGAAAATTGTGACCAATGAGCAAGAGCAGGTGTAGCTCAGTTGTTTAGTGCATGGCCTTCGGAGCTTGAGGTCCAAGGTTCAATCCTCAAGATATCCACATCTGTTTCGACTTCTCTCAAATCCGTGTAGCTTCAGGTTTGAATACTCTTAAATCTCTACTCTTAAACTGATGGAGAGAGGGGTAAAGTGCGCGCAGTCGGCTTCCATTGATAGCAGTTGAATTTCAACTGAAGGAACCACCGACGTTAAATATAGGTACTTTACTTTATTCTCTCTGAAACTTAAAACAAAATTATGTTTTTATGGAAATTCCTGTTTTTTAATCTCCAGATTGTGGACCCACCATGATCAGACCTTTCTGTACATGTTACTAGAGTATGCCTGTGGGGGTGAGCTTTTTACATATCTTCGCACCGCTGGACGGTTTAACAATGGCACAGGACTTTTTTATGGGGCTGAAATAGTTTCTGCACTGGATTATTTGCATAGTATGTCAATGGTCTATAGAGACTTGAAACCTGAGAATATTTTGTTGGATCGGGAAGGCCATGTAAAAATTACAGATTTTGGTTTTGCCAAGGAGGTCCATGATAAGTAAGTACTCATTCATCTTTTCAAAGACTATGGTGTATAATGCTTGAAAATAATGCTTGCTTTTAATTTAAGGAGGCTTGAAAGTGCTTTCTGCTTTCACATATACACACAAATAATAACATTGAAAAACCTTATATTGCTTTATTTTGAAAGCGGTTAAAGCTAGAAAGCACAAGACCATAAACCAATGGTCCCTGTTGTGGAACTGACGACAGAAAACGCCTTTTACAACTCAACAACTTTACTTGAGACGTTGACTTCATTACAAACATGTCAGCACGAAATTCGATTCCTTAAGGGGTTACAATTTATTCCCCACCCGGGGAGGGTACTAATATCCTAGTCTCTTGGGGCTTCGTACC